ATTATTATTATTATCATTATTATTATTGTTACTACTACTATTATTATTATCACTATCGCTACTATCGTTATGTATTTTATTTGTACATTTCCTTACGCATTTCCTTACTAATTTATCAGGGTAATTATTAAGTTTCAAGACTTCTTTTATGCGTATCACTTCCTGTCTTAGATTTTCCTTGGTACTACTTAGTTTTTGTGCTCTGTCACTTAAACATTTCACCAATCCTATTTTTACTGACATAACATAGGATTGGATGATCGGAAGTCTAAATATCTGTTTGAATGTGTGGGTTTCCTGTAAACACAAGTGTTTAACTTCCCATCTTCTTTCCTTTTTACGTTGCAATCTAACATTGGAAGCTCCCCTTCCTGACTTTCCAATTCATAAGTGAATTGAATTGCCTCCACCTTTGAGTTAATGTCTTCGAAAAATCTATCTATACCTTGTGTTCTTAGTACAGTGAATGTATCATCTACATACCTCCACCATACTTTTTGGGTGGGGGTGAACGTTTCAATCGCTATGTTTTCCCACCTATCCATGAATATATCTGTCACAACCGGGGATATTGGTGATCCCATGGCAACTCGCTCAGTTTGATTGTATATTTTCCCTTGGAATTTAATCCATCTAATAAATAAACTAATATGGAATTGCTTACTACCACAGTGCCCAAGTATTACACATATTTTCTATAGTTTGGTTTGCAAGGATTAGTTATGTTTTACGAGTTGATAACGGACTGATATCAGTTAGAGAACCATTGAAAACCAGCATTGGAGTACTGGACAGCTGCTGTTTCATCCCAGTTTGGGAATCATCGGCGGTACGCACCCACCGCCAGGGTTCGAACCCAGGACCTTCCGGTTACAAGGCAAGCTCGTATACCATTCAGCCACTGGGACCCGATTCACTGGCTCATGAATTCTAACTTCTACCAATTCGTGATTTTAGCGCGATCCCAGCCATTGTCGTTGGTGGGACATCCATCCACACACGTGACATCTAATTGGACCTCACTGGTCACGACTTCTCACTAGAACTCCAGGAAGCTCCATCCTGTAGCAAGTCACTAGCGAGCATCAGATTAATTTTCTATAGTTTGGTTTGTAAGGATTAGTTATGTTTTACGAGTTGATCACGGACTGATATCAGTTAGAGAACCATTGAAAACCAGGGAGTACTGGACAGCTGTTTTTTCATCCTAGTTTGGGAATCATCGGCTAAATCACGAATTGGTAGAAGCTGGAATTCATGAGCCATTGAATCGGGTTCCAGTGGCTGAATGGTATACGAGTTTGCCTTGTAACCGGAAGGTCCTGGGTTCGAATCCCAGTGGGTGCGTACTGCCGATGATTCCCAAAGTAGGATGAAACAGCTGTCCAGTACTCCAGTGGTGGTTTTCAATGGTTCTCTAACTGATATCAGTCCGTGATCAACTCGTATTACACATATATGAAACACAGTTTCGTTTTTTTTCATTCATTCATCAATATATTATTCTGTAAATAATTATATAGTGTTAGTTAGACAGAGTTAATTGATTATTTCAAAGTGTACAGTTATGTAAACAATACAGAAATCGAAAAGCACCTAATAGAATAGGTTTATTTTCGATTGTTAATAGGAAGAAATATAAAAGAAAGCAACAACAACAACAATAACCAGTTAAACGTTTGTTTTCTGTCTTCCGCTTCATATCATTTTTAAGCGGGAACTATATAAACAGCACTGGTTTTCTTATTTTTGCTGTTGACCGAATGTTTTGTTTAATAGACTTTGCGTCTTTCACTTCTCGCTCTCTTTCGAGTAGTTAGAACTCTGTTGTTTTATTTATTTTTATCACTGTTGTGATACACAAATAGCGCACGTGAATTTACTTTATTTTCATTTTTCATTTGACTAGTTTAATATGGTAAGCTTTTCATTCCCTTTGGTACTATTATTCCCTTAAGGTTTATTTTTGGAACATGAGGCTTCAATAGAATAAACCCGCTGCATGACTGACTGTCTATAAGCTTTCATTGCCTACTCATCCTGGAACTCACGCTTAATTCGTTTCTCATTCTGGTTCCATTCAACGGGTTCTATTTCTTTCAGGATATTTGCTGACTGATAGCTTCTTAGTTAATTTGGTGTCAGAGTTTCTTGTTTCTAACCCTTTCTGACTAGTCATCTCATCTCCAGTATGGGGTCAGCGAAGGTGGGTGTGTTGGTGAAAGTCCTCAACAATCCTCTTGGGAATATTTTTGGTGGCATACGAAATCTCTGAACTATACAGAAGAACTGACATGACTTAACATTAATGTTAAAAGTTGGATTCTTGTTCTTTGCACTTAGTGCAGTGGATTTCCAGACTGATTTCAGATTTATTATTATTATTATTGTTCCCTTGGGTTCCTAGTGGAACACAGGACTTCAACTACACGTCTCCATTTGATTCTGTCTTCTGCTGTACTTTTCACTTGCATCCATGTTAGTCCATACTGTTTCAACTCCTCTTCACACGATCTCCTCCATGTCACCCCTGGACGTCCCACTCGCCGCTTTCCTTTCGGGTTCCACTCGAGCTATGGCCTGACGTGCGATGCCGCCCGGTGGCCTCCTCAGCGAGTGTCCAATCCATCTCCACTTTCTCCTGCATATTTGTTGAGCGAATGGTTCTTGTTTTGTTTGTTCACATAGTTTCTTGTTGGTGATTCTTTCCGACCTTCAGATTAATGAAGGTTTATCTTGCTCTTTAGATCCTTGTCAGCTTTGACATTGTCATCTGTTCCGACTGCTTGTAGTTGAAACTATGCTGTCTAAACAACAAGTGACAGAAGTGACTCTTCCTTTGGGATTTCTCCGGTTGATAGTGACTAATGGTTGTTTCTCTGAGTTAGGTAGCAAAATCTTTTTGTCAAAGGATTGCTGAATGACGCGTTTAAAACATCCGTTGAGTTAAATAGATTTTTTATTTTAAAGATGAAAAATAGTCCATTGTATATACAATAGTTTAAGAAAAATGTTGGTGGCACAGCGGTTAGGACTCTCGCCGACCATGCACATTGTCCGGGGTTCGCCCCCCCTTCCGACGCACACCTGGTATCAATGGTCGGCCTGCAAAATTTGGTCTACCGATATCGCATGCTGAAAATTACATACCTATGGCGTCGGTGGCATAGCGGTTAGGACGCTCGCCGACCATGCACATGGTCCGGGGTTCGATACCCGGTTGACGCACTCCTTTAACTCGCGTAGCCAGTAGTAAGACTGGTAAAGAGGGAAGGTTGGGCATGAGGTTAGCAACTCCATCCTGTAAAAATAAAAACATACACTGCTACAGAATCTTCAAGCCACTAGCTTGAAGCCCTATGTTCCACTGGGGAACATGAAGGAAAAAAAAAGAAAAATGTTTGTCATATGAGGTGTTTCTGAGCTCTGATTATGCTAAGATTATGAGGAATCTCAGACGAAAAGAAAACTAAGAAGAAAATTTGTGACAGTTTAAGATAGTTAAAATGATGGTAGCTAATAAGAAGCTTAGAGGGAGGCGGAAGTACTCTGAATATCATAATCAACTAATGATGGCCAAGCTAGGGAAAGCGCCTGAACGAATTTCTTCCAGTAGATTCTCACGGCTTGAGCTAGATGTAAAAGACGAATTCTCGTAAGGTAAAATTAAGGTTAGTCGAAAAACAATAGATAACTTAAACAGCTTTATGACTATTATTCCGTAGTCTAGGTGTCATTACTTTAAGTTTTGTAAAAATTAAATTTTCGCTCATATCTGCTTGAAAATTTCATCAATTCTTATGGTAGCACAAACTGATTGTTCAATGTAAGATTGTTAGACGATTTTATGATGAGCTGACATCGGTTAGAGAACAACTAGAAAACCTGGGAGTACTAGACAGCTGTTTCATCCTGGTACGCAGTACGCACCCACCGGGATTTGAGCCCGGTGTCTCTCGGTTACAAGGCGAGCTCGTAGACCATTAAGCCACTGCGACTCGATTCAGTGGTCAGCCTATGAATTCCAACTTCTGCCAATTCACGACATACCGTGAGCACCAGCCACCAGTAATCAGCGAGTATTCTTCCCCAGGCCCAACCTGCTATACCCTGCTGGTCGAGACTTCTCACCTACCTGGTTGCGTTATATTGTGGGTCGGCAGAAGTTAGAATTCATTGGCCATTGGATTGGGTCCCAGCGGCTTAAGGCTCTGTGAGCTCGCCTTGTAACCAGAAGGTCCTGGGTTCGAACCCCCATTGGGTGCGTACTGGTGAAGAGACCTGAGCACTAAGACGAAGGAGCTGTCCAGTACTCCAAGGTTTTCCTATGGTTCTCCAACCGATGTCGGCTTATAATGAAACCTCGTAACCAATCATATCAAATCTCTACAAACCAACACTTAAGACTGTTATAGTTATTATTATTCCCCGGTGTTCCGATTAGAAGAAAGTGCTTCGACAGAACATCTCCATTTCACTCTGTAGTCTTCAGTCTTACATAGCTGATTCCAGTATTGCCTATAAGCTTCCATCTTTTCCTCACAAAATCTTCTCCATGTTACCCTCGGACTCGCGCCTACGTTCCTTGTCAAGAACCTGGTACATGATGTCATTCAACAGTTTCCTCAGTGTATTTCCAGTCCATCTTCATTATATTCAGCATATTTGTTGAGCGATAGATTCTTGATTGGGTCAACTGAACACGAATAGTTTGTGCAAACTGGATTTTCAGTGAATACTGGTGAATTCAATCGCAGTGTTAATCGTCATTGTTAAGTGAGGCAAGTGTGTGTTGTAGAGTTTAAAAAAAATTGGCTATTTGATTAAAATTCTGCAATATTCAGTATTATTCCTCAGAGTTTTTTTCCCGATAGTGCTCTCATTTCCTTCATACTTTCCTTTTTTTACAAGCAAAAGACTAGTAGCATTTTTCTTCAGTATCTCTGAAAAGTATTCATAGTTTTCTGTTTGTTTTTTTTAATTATTTCTCATTGATACAGATCCACCACCCTTAAGATCACCGTCATCCTATGAAACACTTAGTCAAAATTCTGAATATTTGTCAGATAAACAAGTGAGTTGATTGGCACAAACTTTTTTTTGTTTTAAGCGTATTTATTTATTAAAATTTTGTATTTCAGGAAATGAATAATGTTTTTTTTTAACAGATTACGCATTGTTAACTGATGAAGTCAGTGAGGCATAAACAAAGTTGTTTGTTTGTTTGTGAAAGCATTTACTTTTTTAACAATTTCATTTTTTCATCTGTGCTCTGTCAGTTGTACACATTTCATTATAACAAAGGTTTTCGTGTATTTCCCAATGGATGGAAAACAAAACGATATTGTTTTTACTGACGTTTCGTTATTTATCGATGCTGCTAATAACTTTATCAAAGTATTATTAAACCGGAATTTACAAAATCTCAGCATATATATAACAAAGAGTTAAGGGGTGAGAAAATAGACTACTTAGGTCAAGTTAAAAGGACATATTGAAAGTCGAAATAACAATAAAGATCACTAAACCAAATAACAAAGGTGATAGTACATCTGTTATGATATCAAAACAAAGTTTACTAACTTGATCATCGTTCGTCTGTCTGGGGGCATTTTTCGTTGTCAAGTTGGTCATTTGGTAAAGATAACAAAATCAAGTGTAGATTGTTGGATTAGATCAGTGTGTAAAATTATAAAAGCAGTGTGTGTTTACATAATGAAATTGTCTTGCTTTTCCGATTCTTGCTTTGATATCCTCGTCAGTTCCGCCTGTAGTTGACACGATGCTTCCCAGGTAGGTAAAAGAGGTTGTTTCTTTCAGGTCCTTTCCATTTATGCTGATTGTTGTCTGTTGTTGTTGTTGCTGTTGGTGGTGTTGCCCGGGAATCTTCATCACCTCTGTCTTCTCTATGTTCACCTGAAGTCCTATCTTTGATGCTTCTTCTGCCAACTTGTTGCTCATCGCTTGCATAGGATAGTTATTTAACACCAACGCCTCTTTTATGTGTTTCGTTTCATCATTTGAGTTTTTTGTTGTATTACTCAATGCTATTGCTCGGTTTATTCGATAAAATCTTATGGGGAATTATAGCGCCAGATAAAAGAGAGTGCATAGAACATAGTAAAATGGAGATGTTCCACTCGAAGCCTAAAGAATGAATAATAATATCTTTATTACTATACGAAACCCTTCGTCGATAAACTTGTAGAAACCTGCATTTTATGTAAAATGCGATACATCTTAAATTACTTTATCGAGTTCCTCTTGACTGATTTATATAATCGATCACATCACTTTTTTTCTGTATTTCTTCGCTTGCTTTCATCACATATCGCTTGGAATGTAGGTTGAGACGTTACAAAGTCCTATAATCAGATTAGTTGGGGGGCTTTTCTTTCGTTCACTTGTCCTCTGATGAACACTAACCTTCCTTATTCCAGATGTTGAATTTTCCCATTTTTATCAAACACAAAATAATCGAGCAAAGAATATTCTTTTCGATAAATTCCTCTTCCAGGCTCTACAATTATACATATGTTTATATACACAGAATATTCTAGATTAGTAGTCAATAACAATATTAGTGTTTTTTAAATAATATCGATTTGTAAAGTAAGATCACAGTGGAATTACAGTTCATTAAAGATGCTTAAATTATAATAGTAATAAAAATATAATAGCAAATATAATATTAATTAAAAGTAAGGAAATTTCTACAAAAAATTGAGGATCATTCGAACCTAGATGGCCAAGATAAGGACAATGTCTGAACTAACTTCTTTTGGATGCATAAATTAGGCTTCTTAATATGGACCCACACAGCCTCAGCAATATTTAGTAGTCGAACTCTTAAGGCAAAATTGAGATTCGTAGGTATGCGTTAAATGACCCTGAAAGCATGATTAACGTCAATCTTGTGTCTTGTATCCACAAGATGAGACAGATTATCTCGGCGAATAGATTTTGTTTGTCCTTTGCTTAACCAGGCAGGGTGATGTTCGAAAATTCGACGCCTGGCTCCACAGGAGCAGTTACAAGAAAATCATCATTGATTCTCGTTCACTTTTATCCTTGACCTTATTTTCAACAGAAATAATAATTTTCAAGTATTGGTTTTGATTGCATGGAGGATTTCATCATGAGCTGACATCAGTTAGAGAACCACTGGAAAACCTGGGAGTACTGGACAGCTGTTTCGTCCTAGTTTGGGACTCTTCAGTAGTACGCACCCACCGGGTCCCAGTGGCTCAATGGTCTACGAGCTCGCCTTGTAACGAGAAGGTACTGGGTTCGAATCCTGGTGAGTGCGTACTGATAAAGAGTCCCAAACTCGGACGAAACAGCTGTCAATTACTCCCAGAAATAATAATAAGTGAAGCTAAAAGGTGTAGAATACTACAATAATACAGTTAAAAGCAATGGAATTATTGAAAAGACATTTCTACCGAACTTGTCACACACACACACAGAGATGTAACCATAGTAACCATATTCAATATAGAAGTACACAGGAATATTAATAATCAACTTCTTTTTTTGTTTTGTTTTTTATACTTGGGAAATAAATCTTCGTAACTCTTCATTTTCTTGTAACAAATGATTACCTACCCATCTACCTATCTCATTGCCCAAAATATCTGAAAAGACATTTACTTCTATTGACATATCCAGTTTTACAAAAAAGAAAAAACAACCAATAAATAAGTTTGCGTCATTCCTTTTCTTCCCTATCGTACGTACATATTTGCCTAGTTCCTTGTCAAACAAGCTATCAGCTAGTACTGGTTCCGTTATTTTTCTTTTTTTCTTCTAGTAATGTCAGTGTTAGTGTGTGTGCATGTGTGTGTGGTTGTTTGTCTGTTTATACGCATAGGCATCAATGATTTTCTTAGGAGTTAAAATCCAAAAGAACAAGTACATTTGTACTTAGTCAGCTAAAATTCATCCAATTCGTTTTTCAGTGAAAATAAAATTGTAGCATAAGTTGTTTTGAAAAACTTTCTTTTTTCCTCCCAAAAATTAAAGTGTGTTACTTTGACCTTCAGAACAAGCTGGATTCAGGAAAGGCAAATCATGTTCTGACGAAATTGCAACTCTACGCATCATCATCACAGAACAAAGCATGGAATGACAATCAAACCTCTACCTCAACTTCATAGACTTTGAGAAGGCCTTTGACAGCGGTGACCGAGAAGTAATCTGGAAACTACTCAAGTACTACGGCGTACCCCAAATATTCATCAACCTTATTCAACAGCTATACGACAACGGCACATGTCAAGTGATCCACAACGGAAAACTCACTCAGCGAGGCGTTTGGAGTAAACACAGGAGTCAGACAAGGGTGCTTATTATCACCAATGATATTCCTAATTGTGGTGGACTGGATTATGCGTCAGACAGTGGGAAACGAGAAGACAGGGATATCCTGGACCGACGTGAAGAACCTAGAAGACCTGGATTTCGCAGATGATTTATGTTTGATGTCACAGAAAATCGAAGAATTACAAGCGAAAACCGAAAAACTGGTCGAAGAGGCTGGCAGCAAAGACAGGACTCCAGGTGAACATAGACAAGACGGAGGTTATGAAAATAACCAACAACAACAACAACAACAGCAGCAACATCCAGCGCCAATCACCATCAACGGGAGGGATTTGAAAGAGGTTACTTCATTCACTTATCTAGGGAGCTTTTTCTCAACTACAGGAGGAACGGACGAGGATGTCAAATAGAGAATCGGGAAGGCGAGAAACACATTCATCAACCTGAAACCAATCTGGAAATCTTCCTCACTCAGCATCAACAACAAAGTGATTCGGATTTTCAATACAAACGTCAAATCAGTTCTTCTTCTCTACGTATCAGAAACTTGGCCATTGTGTCACAAAGAATATTTCCAACAGCCTGTTGCAGACCTTTATCAACAACTAACTGTCTTCGCTCTGTACTGAAGATCAGATGGCCGGAAAGAATCACCAACAAGAAAATATGGGAACAAACGAAACAAGAACCAATTGCCCAACAAATATGTAGGAGAAAGTGGAGATGGATTGGACACTTGCTGAGATGAGGAGGCCGTTGGGTGACATCGCGCGTCAGGTCAACGCTCGAGTGAAACCCGAAAGGGAAGCGGCGATTGGGACGTCCAAGGGTGAAATGGAGGAGATCGTGTGAAGAGGAGTTGAGACAGTATGGACTAACATGGACGTAGGTGAAAAGTACAGCAGAAGACAGAAACAAGTGGAGATGTGCAGTTGAAGCCCTATGTTCCACTAGGAACCCAAGGGAACAATAATAATAATACTTTGACCTTACCATAGATTGAACTTAAGACCTCCAGATCACAAGGTGAGCGAGTTCTTTTGACTATTCAGCCACACTAGACTCTGTCTCACTGGCTCATCATTCATTTCTAACTTCTGCCAATTTACAATATGTTGCGCCGCGGCCTCCAGGTGATGCCACCGGTGGTGAGTATTCCTCTTCACCTCTTAACTTCGTATGTACCCTGCTGGCCATGGTTGCCAACTAGAAAACTTCGAGCTACTTCATCCTGTTATCAGTCGCCGGTTAGTGACAGATACTCACCGGCGACATTGGTTGGCAGTCACACTGTATATCGCGAAGTGACGAAAGTTAGAATTGATGGGTCATTGGATCCCTTCCCAATGGCTGAGTGATATGCGAGCTCGCCTAGTAACCTTAAGGTCCTGGGTTCTATCCCTAGTGGGGTGATAAATGCGTACTGCTGAATAATTCCAAACAAGGATGAGACGACTGTGTTCAGGACAACCTGGTTTTCTGGTGGTTCTCTAACTGAAGGCAGTTCGTGATCTTCTACTTCTTCTATTCACATCATTAATGAAATAAACTGATCATTCTTATTATTGTCCATATTTTCACATGATTCTGTCATGTTTATTCCAATAATAATAAATTTTAATTTTTTTATTATTTTCCTCTACTGTTATAGACATTTATTCATTCGACTAAAAGTGAAATGCCTCAAACTGAAGATCAGCCTCAACCTACTGGACATAAAATGGTTGCAGTTAGAAGTCCAGGTAAATGGCAAGTGTGTGGGTGTGTGTTTGAATGGCTGTTTTCACACTTATTTGATCTCACTTATTTTTTTTAAGATTGAGCGTCTGTGACGTGGTTGTAAATCGGATACAATTTTAACTATTTTCGCAGCGGACTTCAGATGGAAATACTGATGATGTTGTCTAGAATGAAACTAAAATCTTTGCAGTCAAACAGTCTACCTTAATTGCAGTTTACTTGCAGAAGTATTATTATTATTATTATTGATTTATGTTCTGAACGGAGTACACAGCTTCAACAGCATATCTCCATTTCATCTTCTTTTATGCAGTCGTCTTTAGTTAGCTCCAACAATATCCATAAGCTCGCATCTCCTCCTCACACAATCTCCTCCATGTCGCCCTCAGACCCACGCATAAATCATCGTTTCTCACTCGAGTTCCATTCGAGCGATGGCCTGGTATGCGATGTCTACTTTTTCCTCGTATGCCATCTGGTTTTCAGTACAGAGCCAGCGAATGCAGCTGTTGGAAAATGCTTATCGTGAGTCATGCACCAAGTTTCTGAGCCATATAGAAGGACTGTCTCACTTAACACTGAATTGTATATACTGAATGCAGAAGACTTCCAAACTGATATCAGAGTGATGAAAGTCCGTCTTGTCTTTCACATTTCTGACTGGTTTTGACATCTTCAACCGTCCCGACTACCCGTAGTTGAAACGATGATGCCTAGATACGTGACAGAAGTGACCTCTCTCCCGTTGATTGTGATTGGTGCCTGTTGTTGTTGCTGTTGGTTGGCTATCTTCATCACCTCCGTCTTTTCTATGTTCGCTGGAAGTCCTGTTTTTGCTAACTGTTTCTTCGGCCAGTTTGCTGGCTTTCTTCTGTAAGTCTTCGAGGTCTTGTGACATTAGACATAAATCGTGAGTGAAGTTCATATCTGCTGGAGTCTTCTTATCGGTCCAACATATTTCTGTCTTCTCGCACACCCGCGTACAGTATGTTGTATGATCCAGGCTACCACAATCAAAAATATCATCGTTGATAGCAGAAAGCTTTGTCTTACTCCTGTATTCCCTCAAAGGTTTCGCTGAATTCTCCGTGGTGGATCGTTGACACATGGTATTGTTGATAATAATAATATCATTAATGTTACCTCCGAAAACTACAAAGATGATGTTGACTGGATCTAAATTATACTCATGTTAATTATTCGTTCAAGTTAATTTTTTATTTTCCGTTACTTGATTATATTGGATCGAAATGTTCATTCTCTGTTCACACTGTCGGCTCCTAGTACGGGAGCTTTGACGATGTTTGATGACTAACACGATCAGTCGACGGGAAAAACAAAATCAACGCATAAAAAACACAAAATAATTGAGCAAAGAATATCCTTTTCGATAATTTCCTCCTCTTCTGGCTCTACAATTATATATATATATGTTGATATGCATAGAATATTCTAGATTAGTAGGCTAATTTGTGCATCCAAAAGAAGTTAGTTCAGACATTATCCTTACCTTGACCACCTAGTTTTGAATGATCCTGAATTTTTGTGAAAATTTCCCTTATCTTAGTTGATATTCCATTTGCTATTATATCTTTGTTATTATTATAATTTAGGCATCTTTAATGAACTGTAATTCCACTGTGATATTACTTTACAAATCGATATTATTTCTAAAAAACACTTACGTTGTTAATGGCGACTATTCTAGAATATTCTATGTATATAAACATACATATAATTGTAGAGCCAGAAGAGGAATTTACAGAAAAAGGATATTCTTTGATCAATTATTTTGTGTTTTATAGATGTCTGAATGAATATTTTCGCTATATACTAAAATCAACTTAAACAAATAATAACTAATGTCTGTTGCACAAAGGGTGGTTCTCAAGGGCCTAGTGGATAAGGCTTCTGCCTTTGAAAGCAATTGGTGCTGAGTTCGAATCTCAGTGGGGAAAACCATCAAGCAATCAGGATTCCTGGTAAGTCCAGGAAGGAGTTCACTGCTTGTCACCATCCACCAAATACCATCTCATGGTAATCAGTTGATTTTAAAATTCGTCCCCAGAAAGATAAAGCTGAATTCGATATGCGTCCGTTTTACTTAACTATTTCTAGTTTCTTATCACAAAGCATTCACTGTTATGCTTTGTTTCAGTATTTAATCCTCGTGATACCATATTGCGTGGTTTTTATATATAAATAGCTGAATTCAATGTTTCCATTTCATCGTTAGTTGAGAGACAGATTTTATCAATAGAAACCACGCGGAAAAGAAAAAAGAAACGACTAACCGTTAGTTTTGATGCGCTTTTTAGATAACTAATAAAAAAAGAAAATGGCTATTTGCGTGAAATCACCTAACAGTCATATGATGAGTACTCACCATCTCTATGCTGATGAAAGCACTTAAGAATTTGATATTTAGTTTTAATCAGTACACATACATGTATGTACATCTCATTGGATAGTCATTAGTATACATGCTTCATTTGGAATATATCTGGCTAAATTTGAAATTTCGATAAGTATTGTAATTGGACACTAGTAACTAGTGTGATGTGTCTAGTCCTTATTTCGGTGCAGATTGAATTCTGTCAGTCAGGTTTACAATGTGGCCCTGAACACCTTGAGCAGCAATCTTCGTATGTTTGGCATGCGATTCGCCCCTGTAAAATGTAAGATGCTGCTGCAGGACTGGACTACGTCTACCCCTAGCTTAGTGATAGGGAGTGAAGTGATAGAACATGTTGACCACTTCACCTATTTGGGAAGTTGTATCAGCACCAACGGATTGATTGGTGACGAAATCTCAGCATGGATCCAAAAAGCTCGGGCTGCTTTCGCTAACTTACGCCATCTCTGGCGTAGGCGTGACATATGACTATCAACCAAGGGACGTGTGTACTGATCAGCAGTTCACTCCGTCCTTCTCTATGGCTCTGAAACATGGCCAATACGAGTTGAAGATATGAAAAGGTTGACTGTTTTTGATCATAGATGTCTGCGATCTCTTTCCCACGTTAGGTGGTATAATAAGGTAAGTAAGTAATGTTGACGTTAGGCGTAGAGTGTTGGGCAAAGAGGGAAAATCAATCGACGAGGCTATAAAGGTTCATAGATTGAGATGGTTAGGTCACGTGCTGCGCATGCCTAACCATCGCCTCCCCCTCCCGACGGGCATTACTAGCTGATATAGGTGCAGGTTGGAAAAGAGTAAGTGGTGGCCAAACAAAAACATGGCATCAATCAATCCATGAAATCCCTGACAGTTAAACTGAGTGAGGTAGGGAGATGCAGACTTCCGGGTTGGGGCCCTTTCTCGGGACTCTAAGAATCAATGGCTGGAGACAATATGTGACATGGCTCAAAATCGTTGTCAATGGCTTACGCAGATGTATTCAGTCTCTTTAATCTTTCATATTCCTTTCTACCATTACTCATTCTGTTCCACTCTTATACTTGTCAAAACTCTATTGATTCTCTTCACTCATTTTCCTGTCTACCTTTGTATGCTATTTGGAACGCGGTAACTCGAACTGTTGCACTTCGGTGCCAAATTCCATGCTGAATCCAGACAGACAGACAGTCAGGTTTACAATGTGGCCACAATTCTCGGTAGCTCGTCATCATGGTGCACATTGATTTGATGATATTAGATGGTTGGAGGTAACCAACAGGAAACCTTGCCGGGACCTAGGTTTCGTGCTAGTTGGCAGTCACTAGTCAGCAAGGCGTATCTAAAACCTTGAACGAACTCATGTTTCTTCTGAGATTGAAACCTGCATCACCCAGTGATGCAGTCAGAGACGTTACCGCTGAGCTATTCGGGCTCGTGATTGACCTCCTTTAGGACTGTAGTGGGTATTTTGATTGGACGCTAGTAACTAGTGTGATGTATCTAGTCCTTTCTTTGGTGCAGAAGAGACATGAGTTCCTTCAAGGTTTCAGATACGCCTTGCTGGCTAGTGAGTGCCAACTAGCACGAAACCTAGGTCCCGGCAAGGTTTCCTGTTGGTTGCCTCCAACCATCTAATATCATCAAATTTCGATAAGTGTTTGGATTTAAATGTGCATGTGTGAAAGTGTGATCGTCTGAATATCTTGTCTCTTTTCAATTGTTGGTGTTGAAGTATTTGGTTGATTTTAAGCTTGGTCACCAACTGCCCCAGTTAGAGAGTTATTGAAAATCAGGGGAGTACTGGAAGGCTAGCTCGTCCTAGTTGGGAACTCTAGAATTTCGCAACCATGACTCCACTCAGGAGCGAACTCACCACCTTCAGTTTACGCGGTTGGTCAGTTGACCATTCAGGTCATGAATGCTGACTGCTACTGGTTGGCGATATATAGTGCGAATGTCAGTCAGTGTCGTCGGTGAGTATTTGTCCTTATACTCGACTTGGTAGACCCTGCAAAACCAACACATGGAAATTAACCTATTGGTAACGAGTGACTGACTACAGAACGAAGTTGCCTGATGTCCTAGTGGAAGGTCGTATTATTGTAACAGATTGTATATTCACCTACTTACCTCACAAAGGTCTTAAAGTAGCTTATTAATACTCGATTGATAGTCAACTTTTTCATCTCTGTATTTTGAGTAACATTTCCGTATTTTTTTTGTTGTTGTTTTGTTTAACAGAGATACCTGATGCTTCCTATATCAATCCACATGAACCATCTAGTTTAAGATCTTTGAACAGTAAATCATCAGAAAATGCAGCACATCTAGTTGGATCTTTTGATCATAATATTATGCGAGGAAGTGGATCATCATCTGGGCGTCAGACATCGATACAAAGTAGATCACCACATCAACCATGGGCTACAGGTACATCAACTTCTCAAATTCTGAGTCAACCGGGTGTCATAGCTGGTGAGTAATTAGTTAGTAGTCACCCATTTTTATATATTATTGTTAATATGATACTGTTTCACTTTCACTACTCTCAAGTCTGTGTGGAGGTCAACGGCACTCAGCATCAAAAATAAGATTCGGATTTTCAACTCCAATGTGAAGTCAGTCAGTGCTACTATACGGATCAGAGACCTGCACTGCGCGTCATAAAGAGCATCTCAAACAAACTACAGACCTTCATTAACAATTGTCTTCGCTCAATACTCAAGATCAGATGGCCGGTCAGAAAAGATCAGCAATAGAGACGGATCTGTAGCAATGAGCGAAGCAACCGAGCAGGAACCGATTGTGAAACAAATAGGCAGAAGGAAATGGAGATGGATTGGCCATACTCTGAGGAAACCATCAAGTGACATCACTAGACAAGCCATTGCTCCAGTGGAACTCGAAAGGGAAGCGGCGAGTTGGTCGTCAGTGCAATGGTGAGGGTGACTTGGAGGAGGTGATGTGAAGAGGAGATGAAAACGTGTGGGCAGACTTGGAGCCAGATGAAGACTCTATCAGAGAACCGAACACAATGGAGACTTGTGGCTGAAGCCCTATGTTCCTCTAGGAATTAAAGGAAACAATAATAATGTAATAATAATTATGATAGTGTTATTCCCTTGAGTGTCGAGTGGAATATAGGGTTTCAAAAGCAAATCTCCTGTACTCTGCAGTCATCTTTAACTGGTCTCTCGCGATTTCGCATAAGCCTAATTCTCCTCCTCACATTGATCTCCTCCAGGTACCATTGTACTCATGCCCAACTTGTTGTTTCTCATTCGAGTTCCACTCTAGCGAAATGACCTGCATTGTGCGTGATGTCACTCGCCAGTCTCTTCAGCGTGTGTCAGATCCATCTCCATTTCCTCCTGCATATCTGTTGATTAGTAGCTTCTTGGTTGGTTTCTTTTTCCGGAGTTTCTTGTTGAGAATTCTGACTGGTTGGTCATCTAATCCTCAGGATAAAGCCAGCAAAGGCAGCTGTTGCTAAAAGTGTGTAGTCTGTTGAAAATGCTTTCCGCGACGAATAAGCCAATTCGTGAACCATGTAGAAAAACTGTCTCACACTTAACACTGGTGTTGAAAATCCAGAATCTGTTGTTTATGTCGAGTGCAAAAAATCTCCAGACTGAATTCATTTTTGATTGGATGGAGTATTTCATCATGAGCTGACATCAGTTAGGGAACCATTAAAAAACCTGGGAGTACTGGACAGTTGTTTCGTCCCAGTTTAGGACTCTTCATCAATACGCACCCACCCACCAGGTTTCGAACCCAGGATCTTCTGGCTACATGGCTAGCGAGCTCGTAGACCATTTAGCTGCCACTGGGACCCGATCCAATGGCCAGCCAGTGAATGAATTCTAACTTCTGACAATTCATGACTAGGACGAAACAGCTGTCCAGTACTCCCTGCAGGTTTTCCAATGGTTTTCTAACTGATGTCAGTCATCTCATGATGAAATCCTCCATCCAGTCAAACTAAATTCCCACAAAAACCAATACTTGAATTCTTTTTCATTATGCTATTGTTCTTTTTTTTATCGTCAGCAAATATCACCAGACACTTGCTCAGACAGATAGATTATAGGTAGTAATTCACACTGTCTACATTCCGTATTACTTCTTTTTTTCTCAACACAATTATTGTACTGATAATAAAGAGGTTTCGAAAATTTCTACTGACGTTGAAGTATGTCTACGGAATTAAAATAAGAGGCTTTCGGTGAAGAGTTACTTTTTTCAGCGATTTCACTTTCAAGAGATACAGTCGCATAATTTATTGTCTTAACAACAAAATCAATATTTATCCATGTTCTTTTTTATATCAAATACACTAAGAAAACACGATAAATACTAAAAACTACGCTTTTTGAATTTTTCCAGGTATTTTAATCACTTAAATCGATTTTTCAATAAAGCAAATAAAGGGAAATGTCATTTGAAACAGAAGTACATACTGTTGTACCAAAGATAGACATGTGACTATTACAGAAAGTAGATTAGAATAAAATTGTTATTAAATTCTCATCGGATTTCCGAATATCACCCTGCTTAGTGGTTAAGTAAAGGACGAACAAAATCTATACATAGCGCTATTCTATCTCATCTTGTGGATACAGAACACAAGATTGATGTCAACTTTGAGGCTTTCAAAGTCATTTACCGCATACCAATAAATCTTAACATCGCCTTAATAGTTCGATTACTAAATATTGGTGAGGCTTGGATCCACATTAAGAAGCCTAATTTATGTGTCCAAAAGAAGCTAGTTCAAACATTGTCCTTACCTTGGCCATCTAGGTCCGAATGATTATATTAATATATGTGTAAAACTTGGGCACTGTGGTAGTAAGTAATTCCATATTAGTTTGTTTATTAGATATATCACACAATCAGTGAAACAGTATTATTTACTGGATGACGTTTCGAACAAAATTTATTGTTCATAATCATATCAATTGTAATCACACGACATTGTAACTTGACTTTTATAGTTTTCTTTGTCCTCTCCTATTTGTCGTCGTTCGGGTAGTAGAATTTTCCAGATATCCGACTATACAGGTGTTGAATCATTTTTATTACACGTGTTTGCAGTTGATTCGATAAACAAAGCCTCAGTCAGTTATCCATCTCTCCCTCCACCCAGCTGTTACATTAGATTTTAAAATTGTCATCTTATTCTATCCATCCTATTGCACGGTTGTGTGTAACTGTATGTGATGAGTGCTCTAGCTGAACTATTCTCTAGATTTCTTATCTTATTCGGATCAACCAATCTAGATTTTGCTAGGTTTTTATGCTCGGCTAGTCTGACTGACAATGATTGCAGGATATTAGATAAACTAGATTGTTCTTTCAACCGACATAGCTTATTTCTAATTGAGTTTGTGGGTTTGAATGACACTCTTATTCCTGCCTTGATAAGAATTATGCGTAAAGTTTCCGAGGTTCATTCCTTGTATGGAATTACTACAAGGAATCTAGATTAGTTAGTTGACCCGAATAAGAGAGAGAGAATAGTTCAGCTATACCACTCACTACGTGCAATTACACATAACCATACAATAGGATGGATAGAATAAGATGACAATTTTAAAATCTAATGTAACAGCTGGGTGGAGGGAGAGATGGATAACTGACTGAGGCTTTGTTTATCGAATCAACTGCAAACACGTGTAATAAAAATGATTCAACACCTGTATAGTCGGATATCTGGAAAATTCTACTACCCGAACGACGACAAATAGGAGAGGACAAAGAAAACTATAAAAGTCAAGTTACAATGTCGTGTGATTACAATTGATATGATTATGAACAATAAATTTTGTTCGAAACGTCATCCAGTTTCACTGTATGATACAGCGAACAAACAAACTAATAGGTCCGAATGATCCTCAATTTTTTGTAGAAATTTCCCTAATTTTAGTTGATATTCTGTTTGCTATTATATTTCATTTATTATTATTACAATTTAAGCATCTTTAATGAACTGTAATTCCACTGTGATCTTACTTAACGAATCGATATTATTTAAAAAACACTGATATTGTTATTGACTACTATTCTAGAATATTCTATGCATATAAACATATATATGTATAAATATGATTGCAGAGCCAGAAAAGGGAATTATCGAAAAGAATATTCTTTGCTCGATTATTTTGTGTTTTATAGAATCAAAATAGTTGAATATCCACTTGATAAGTGTGAAGAGGGTGAGAGAAAAGTGTTCATCGGTAGAGAATGCTTGCCAATCATGCACGTGGTACGGGTTACGACCACCGGCCAACTGACTCCTTAACCTCTGTTAGCTGATAGTGAGCCTGGTAAAGAGGAAAGGTTGGATTTGAGACTGGCAACCCTTCTCTTTCCCCCCGCAGCCGGTGGTTAAAAAATAACACCGCTGCTACTGATACTTCAAACCTGAAACCTTGAAGCACTATGTTCCACTTGGAATTCAAAGGAAGAAAATAAGGGAAAAAAATAATAAAAATGTACAAAAGAAACACATGAAAAAGAGGGATAGTAGTGAATTAATCACTAAAAATAGAAGTGAACGAGTAGGAAAGAGATTGTAAGACCATGGTTAAAAGATATCTATAACTATTATTGTTGTTAAACGTTTCAAAGATGTTTATATATGGTGTCTAGTGTGGTATCTAGTGTCTACTAGAACACTAGTACACATTTAACATCCCCAAAACATAAAAGCTGTCTTTCTAATATAATTTGATGTGATTGCAAAAGGAGGTTGTCAGATAATAGTTTCCTTCTCAACGCATCTTTCCGTTAATTTCTTAACTTCACAACTGCAGATATCAAGTTGCATGGTGTACTTCTATCATCTTATCGGTCATTACTCTTCAACACCAATAAAATTAAAAGTTAGTTCACGAACTGACACCAGTTACAGAGACATTGAAAACCAAGGAGTACTGGACAGTTGTTTCGCCTTAGACTGGCACTCTTCAGAAGTGTGCGTTCATGACTGGACGAGGAATTAAAATCTCATGGCTTCCAGGTTACTAGACGAGCTTGTTAGCGATTCATCCACTTGAGTACAACCCAATAACTCATGAATTATAACTTTCGCGTATTCGCGTGTCATCGATGAGTCATTCGTTACGATTTCTCACTGGAACAACTGTTCAGTACACCCTGGTTCTTAGTAGTTCTCCAACTGATGGTGTTAGTTCGTGATTCAAATTGAAACACAATCAAATCCCTAAAAATCAATCAACGGCTATGAACTAATAAAACTAATTGATATTCAAGTCTTCTGATGGACAAAATGTCAGGATAGCTTTAAAAATTGGATCGATTGTCTTTTTAATTACCTTTCTAGCAAGTAATCAACGTGAACGTTATAAAAATCTTGTACTGTGAAAAGAATTCTATGCTTTACAGGATTTCATCATGAGCTGACATTAGTTAGAAAGCCATTGGAAAACCTGGGAGTACTAGAGGGCCGTTTTGTCCTAGTTTGGGACTCTTCATCAGTACGCACCCACCGGGGCTCGAACCCAGGACCTTCTGGTTACGAGGCGAGCTAGCTCGTAGACCATTAAGCCACTGCAATCCGATCCAATGGCCAGCCAGTGCATGAATTCTAACTTCTGACAATTCATGACTAGGACGAAACAGCTGTCCGGTACTCCCGGCAGGTTTTCCAATGGTTCTCTAACTGATGTCAGTCAGCTCAACCAATCAAATCCCTACAAATCAACAGCTTTATTGAATTAATAACTCACTGAATACCACGTTTCACGTCGTCCTACATACGCAGTCTAACTTTGAGTTACCACTGTGGATAATGTGAGACTTCCCTACTACTACTGCTGCTGCTGCTGTTAATATACTACTACTTTTCTATGTGAATGAAAAAAATCTCATTAACCAGAGTGAAGTTTTTAAATCAAGCGTAACGTATAGACAGTTATAATTCCTTTCTTTTGCATTACATTGAGCTGTTCAGTGAAACGTTTTTGTTCTAATCATAGTGTTATATAATTGTTTTTCATCTTTCCCCACCCCCCTGTTGTTCTCTTTTATTCTTTGATATATACACACATATATATGTGTGTGTAGGTATCGTTGGAGGTGTTGTTGTCGTCCTGCTATTGTTAATACTCCTGATTCTATTCTGTATTTATCGTCTGCGTAAAAAAGATGAAGGCTCATATGCGCTAGATGAACCGAAAAAATTGCCTACAGTCAACACGTATACAAGAGCGCCAACACGTGAATTCTATGCTTAAAAATAAAACAGCAACTGAATGACATAGTCGTTTAATGGATTACTTTTTGCTTGTTTGTTTGTTTGTATATTTACACTGCACTAACTAACTAACTAACTAACCCCATAATTATTGATTGATATATTTTGTGCAAGTCAGTCAATGCGCATACCCACATGGTGGACAAACACGCGCAGAGAGATTCTGGTAACTAGGTATCTGATTAACTATTGTCGATCTTCCTGCCTACTTCACTTTTTAATTCCCCTTTCCCCCCTAATTTCTCCTCTTGGTATGTGTTTTTTCTTCCGCAATCCTTCCTTTGTTTTTCTTGTGGTGTTCGTGTTTTGGTTTCTTTTTCCTTTTCTTTTTGTAATCACAGAAACCAAACCTGAATATCAATAATGATTATAATTTAAGTAAAGTAGTAGTAGTATAATTACTCGTCTTTTGTGCAATCTTGTATAGCTGTATTGATATTAATAATTGACAGAGATCAAAGTTTTTCTGTGTGTAAATTACCGACTCCTTCCCGCACACCTACATACACACACTAAGATTGCTTTTCCCCTGTTTTCAATTTCCCCGCTTTCCTTATGTGCAATATTACTATTATTATTATTATTACTACTACTCCAGTAGTAATGTTTATGTGTGTATAAAACATTTGTGGATATCCTTGAGAAGGAGAAGAGAACGCAAAAGAGTAAAGCATAATGAATTCAGTTTCCTCGTGGCTATTTCTCCTCTCATCTCTGTGAAGTCTTTTTGTATAATGCCTCGCGACTGCCCTTTGGAGAGTGGCGTATTTTGCATTTTTAAGTTGTTCTTTTTCCCTCTGCTGTCTTTTTTGCATTTTGCATTTTATGCCAGTTGGTTGTTTTGTGTACCTGCTGTTTAATTTAATCCTCTGATTTTTTTTTCAATATAAAATATATTGGTTAATATGATCTCAAATGTTTGATCTCAAAGATGATCCATACACATATATTCATATATATGCACATACTGTTCTGTTAGCTATTCTGTGTGGTGTTGACAGTTTGAGCAATGCTGTGTGTTGGGCATCATGAAGCTACGAATGAATCTGCTTTCTCTTTTTTCTAATTTTATTAAGACAATATAGAGTTTTGCATAAAAGTACTGCTGTTAACTGTAACTATAAAGAGTATTGAGATTATTGATAAGGAAACAGAGAAGAAGAACAAAAAACAAAACAACAACTGGATCTATTATAATATGATGAAGTCCTCCTTCTTTTTTTTTACTCATCATGTACACCTTTTTATTCCTCTTTGGATATTTAAAGATGAGATATTGTGATCGTGTTGATTTTTATTTGTACTACAAAATAGAAGTGATTCTTATCATATGAAAATCTTTTTTTGTCTTTCCTTTACACATGATGTCTGATTGATTGGCGGTTATAATTGTTGTGGCCAATAAGTTGACATAATATGTCTGTCTGTCTGTTTTCGACATAGAACTTTACACCAATGTGCAGCAGTTCAAGTCGCCACACTCCCTTCAATGTAGCACACAAAGCAAGAGAAGAAAGTAAAAAGAAATGCATATTAGAGACAGTAAACAGAGGTGTGAGACAAAGGTATAGTAATAACGAAGAACATCTGCGCCATTGAGAACAATTTTGAGCTATGTCACCAATTGTTTCCAGCCATTGGTTTCTAGCGTCCCGAGGACCCCAACCAGGAAGTCTACACTTTCCTACGTGGCTTGAAATAATTGTTGTAGATTTCATTGACTGGTGTCATGTTTTGGTTTGATCACCGCTAGCTGTTTTCCAGACTGACCCTATATCAGCTAACATTGCCCGTCGGGGAAGGCGATCGATAGCTAGGCATACGTAACACATGTCCTAACCATCTCAGTCGATGTAATTTCACAGTCTCGTTGACTGATTTTCTCTCCTTACCTAGCACTTGACGCCTAACCTCAGTATTGCCCATCTTATTATACCACTTCACACGGGAGATAGAGCGCAGGCAACTATGATCAAAAACATCTAATCTTTTCGTGTCTTCCACTCTTAATGGCCATGTCTGACAGCCATAAAGGAGGACGGAGTGAACTGCTGAGCAGTACACACGCCCTTTGGTCGACAGCCAGCCGGATATCTCGTCTACTAAGCCAGAGATGGCGTAAACTGGCATATGCAAAAGGAGCTTCCTGTATCCGTGCTGAGATTTCGTCAAAGACTAACCAGTTGGGGCTGATGGTACTTCCCAAGTAAGTGAAACGGTTAGCGTGCTCTACCACTTCACTTCTTATTTCTAATCTAGGAGTCAGTGTAATCCAATCTTGTAACATCATCTTGCATTTGGCGGGAGCGAATCGCATGCCAAACATTCGTAGATTGCAGTTCAAGGTGTTCAGAAGACTCTGCATTTTGTCAGCGTCCTTGCCTAGTAGGACTATATCATCTGCATATTCTAAGTCAAGGAGATTATTCCCTGGTAGCAAATCAGTCCTTGTGTCGCTGAAGTGAGTTAGGGTTAATGACATAATAAGTACACGGATTCAAGAGACACTTAAACCTACCCTAACAATTATTCATATTAATTACGTTTATGTAACATATTTGTGTGATTATTGGGATGTAGTGAATGAATAGGTATTGTATATTTTGGCCGGCCACTACTCAATAACTAAGTGTCATGTGTCTAGTCCTTTGTTTACTGCAGACTGAATTCTGTCAGTCAAGTTTTGTAATGTGGCCGCCATACTGAGTGACCCGCCATCATGGTGCACTTTGAATTGTTGATATTAGATGGTAGGAGACAGTGAGTGGGCAAACAAAGGACTAAACATTTAATTCAATTTTAGATTTTCCCATCGACTGATTGGACCGAAGTGCTTGGTATCAGGTCTAGTGGATAACGCTTTGATGTTTGAAACTATGGGTACTGGGTTCGAGCCTCGATGGGAACATCATCACTCACTCACTGAGGAATGCAGGTGTATCCAGACGACGAGTCACAAATAGGATGAAATGCGCGTTGTCCTGGATTCCACTGCTAGTCACCATCCACCAATTTAAGGACTAAGCGCAATGCACTAGTTACTAGCTAGTTCCCCTGTGAAAGTATCCAATATAGTCCTACAAGAGATCACTTGCGAACCCGAATAGCTCAGTGGTAACGTCTCTGACTGTAACACTGGATGACGTCAGTTCGAATCTCTGAAGGGACATGGATTCCTTCAAGATTGCAGAAACGCCTTGCTGACTAGTCAATGCCAACTAAAACGAAACCTTGGTCAGACAAGGCTTCCTACCGATTGCCTCCAACCGTTTAATATGAACAATGAATATATTTGAGCAGAAAGTGAAGAATTTCCGGCTAGCTCCTTGTGCGAAATAGTAACATCTTAAAATGAAATTCATCATTTGCAAATTACTTTGAATTTACACAGTTTGAGAAGGTGAAATTCCACCAAAGTTCCCTTTTTTTCTAATATTGTTGATTGTAAATAATCTACAAATTGTGAATTTCATACAAGGTGTTACCAGTTCGCCCAATTAGCCAGACAGGAATCAGGTGTGCTTTGAACTGCGTTGGTGGCAGAGTGGTTAGGACGCTCACCGACCATGCACGTGGTCCGAGGTTCGATCCCTGGCCGTCGTGCACCTGATATCAATGGTTGGGCTGCTAAATTTGGGCTACCGATATCACATGCTGAAAATTTCATACTTGTATCGGAAATACTGTGTGGAATCAAGGTATAATGAAAATTTTAAGAAAAATAAATACTTTTGTAAACTAAGTCACACTGGGTACACTGCTGATGAGCTTCACCTCAAACGAGTGAAATGGCCGTCCGGTCTTTACATCGTATCGATTTGGCTGGCTAACTAGAAAGCACTACTGGTTGTTGTTGTGAGTAGTATGCAACTACTCATCTCAATCAATCAGTAGTATATACTTTCATGCAATAATGCTTGTTTTCTTGGTTACCATCTATAATATCAATTAGATCCCACAAATTACTTACTTACTTACTTTACTTCGGCTATCTCCTACGGGAGGATGAGCCGACTTCGTGAATTCATGAAGTTTCATGGGAATTTGGTACGAGTGATGTCCCCAGAATCGCTCGGCCTTTTGTTTGAGAGTTAACCAAGTGTGACCTACAAGGCAGTAGGAGTGGAGTAGGGAGTCCACTATCCATTGGAAGCCGGTGACCGGAGTTCGGTTCATACGCCTTTTTGAATGGGGCCAGACATCCAGGACATCCAACAAGCCCTTTGTCCATACGTCTGCCGGTGAGCTCCAGTGAGCTTCATACGCCAGTCGTTGGAGGTGTGGAATCAGGGTTTAGCCATCTCGCCTAGACTGTCATCCAATGGACAGTCAACCCGGTGAAGAGCGCCGGGCATCCGCTTTCGCCCTCTCGTTTTGGTGAAAAACACCTCCGCCACGTGAAGGCAGTGAGTAGGACTTCCTCAGGAGAGGCTATGTAAGACGCCCGGTCATATGGGAGCATTTCAAGAGGTGTGCGGAGGGGTGGCCAACCCGCAGCGCAAGGTACCCACCCCGACCCACAAATTGTGGTCTTAATAACTTCAGCTTCTATAGGAAACTGTAGATATGCTGGAGAGAAGATTTGTAGCTCAGGTGGATGATTTTGATGTGGTTGTGTTCTCTGGGCTAGCTGGATAGTTAATTTGCGAAGCTTTCATTGCCCTACTAGGCAACATCTTCAGCGCATACTTAAATTTTTGAAGTTAAGTATGCGCTGAAAATGTTGCCTAGTAGGGCGATGAAAGCTTCGCAAATTAACTATCCAGCTAGCCCAGAGAACACAACCACATCAAAAAGGAAACTGTGATGAACATTTGATCTGTAGAAAGCGAAAACGAACTTGCTTTCATATGGATATTTCTTATAAAACAATAATAATAATAATTGGGGATTTCATATCGATCAGCTGGTTATTTTTTCAATGCACGACTCATAAGAACATCACGTCATCGCTGAATGAAGTTTGAGAAGAAAAAAAAGGGAAGATGAATTGAAACGACAAATGTTTTTGGACAGTAATTCTTGCGTGATTGACTTACTTGCTTAGACAGGCAAAATTTTATAGGATGAGGAAAGTATTACTGTTGTATGTAGGCATACACGAATTGTAAGAGTTTTAATTTTAGACAGTTAGTTATTCAAGTGAGAATTCGATACGTGTAGGATATTTGTCCGCGTCAGTTTTGTTTTTGTTAATAAAAATAAAATAAAACACGCAACAAAGTTTGTAATATTGAATAAAATAACAAAGAGATTTATATCACAATTTTTGCGTAAGTTAGTCGCTAGTCTCTTCGGTCCTGATTTTCATCGAATCAAGAGAAAAGTTTCTCACACATCAGACTTCATAGAATCGTGTTAGTCTTATAGTTATACCTCTAGGACAACACGTGAAGATGCTTGCAAGTGTGTGTGTAACTCAGTCACACGTCTGGGAGAAAATGGCAAATAGAAAATATATATGTGTAGTTGAGTCATTCTGTTCAGTTTTTAACTTGAAAATGAACGGGATTCTATCTAGTATTGAGTGGATTATTTATGGGTGAAGAACTTAGAGAGCTCAGCAGTAACGTCTGTGACTGCAATACTGGGTGATACAGGTTCGAATCTTTCAAGGGATATAAGTTC